GTCCTCAGCAGGCCCCGCCCGCTGCCCCGGCCTCGGTCTCCGGGTCGGCGCGCGGCCCTGTCGCTCGGGCGCGCGGCGGAAGATGGCGGAGTCCGGTGGCGGCAGTGGCTCTGGCCAGAGTCCCGAGCGCCCGAGCAGGTGAGCCTCGCGCCTCCGTGGGCGCGCACGTCTCGGCCGGGGCCGAGCGTTCCAGGGACGTGAGCGTTCCAGGACCCCGGCTGCCACCGTCCTGAGCAAGCGCGCGGGCCTGAAAGCGGCTGAGGCCGGGCTTCCTGGGCGATGTGGAGCCGGAGGCTGAAGGGGGCCTGGGAAGATGACGTGGGAGGCTGTGCGAGGACTCCGGGGACCGGCAGGTGACCTCCGCAGGCCTTGATGGACAGGAAGCTGTCCAGGGGCCTGGCAGGGAGTGAGAGGCCCGGGCAGGTCTGGAGGGGGACAATTGCCAGTCACCCGGGGCCTGGGGATGCCGGGGGAGACATGCGGTCCCTGGGAGACCTCAACAGGTCCTGGTTAGCAGAAAACTGTCTGGGGGCCTGGTAGGTACATAGGGGCTCGGCATGTCTGGAGGGGACAGTGAGGCCGCCTGTCCTGATGGCCAGGGAGTCCCGGGGTTGTGGGAGATGGGTGTGTCTGGGGAGTTGGAGCACTGTGAGAGAGGGTCTTGAGGGCATGAAGTCTTTTTAGATCCCATCCCCTCAGGCTAAAGGATTGGATGGGAGGTCTTGCCCTCAGACACTGGGGCCACATTCACCCCTCTTCCCTGGTCAGCTCCTGAGGTGGGTTCTTTGAACCTGGGAATTTTCATAAAGAGGACAGATTTGTTTTTGTTTTTGTTTTTTTCAAGACAGGGTTTCTCTGTGTAGCCCTGGCTGTCCTGGATCTCGTTCTGTAGACCAGGCTGGCCTCGAACTCACAGATCCACCTGGCTTTGCCTCCTGAGTGCTGGGATTAAAGGTGTGCGCCGCCGCTGCCGCCGCCGCTGCCGCCGCCACCACCGCCCGGCGACAGATGTTTTTAAATATTTCCTTTATTTTGGTTTTCCAAGACAAGGAGTCATGTAGCCCAGGCTGGTTTCAAAGCTGCTGTGTAGCTGAGGATAACCTCAAATTGCTGACCATACTGCTTCACCCAAAGTGTCAGTGCATGCTAGGTGGGGACTCCGCCAGGTGACAGGAGTGCATCAACATCCCTGTCCTGTGGTGCATGCTAGTGCGGTCTACCACGAAGTCCTCTCTCACCCCCATTGTTTTGAGACAGTGTTTCACTGTGTGACACCCACCGGCCTTGAACTTGCAAACCTTCTGCTGCAGTACACAGCAGGTGTTTATACACATTTGTGAACTGATCTGGGTCTGAGGGGAAAGAGCACCTGACTTAGGGAGCACTCTTAGGGAGTGCTCACACCTAACGTTTTCACACTGACCCAGAGCCAGGCACCCCTGCCTAAGGACAGCCACTACCCTTGGAAGGCCAAGGAGGAAATTCAGGCTCTCGCCAGCTTGTGAGTGTGAAGGTGTCAAGAGTGCTGCTCTGTGTGACAGTGGATAAAGTTGGTCCTCAGGTGGAGGCTCTGGGCAGGGAAAGGCCTGGTGGCCTGTGGACATGAGTTGGGCATTAGTGCCGACTGGGGAAGCCCTGTCACCAAGAGAAGGCGGAGACCCTGCCTGTTCCCAGAGGTGCTGATCGGCACCCGGAAGCTTCACTGTGAGGTCAGAGGACATCTGCAACCAGGAGAGTGGCAGCCTCTGGGGAGAGAGAGGTTGGTGGGGACTGGAGACCTGCCGTGGGAAGCGACCAGAAAAGATCCCTGGTGTGTGTGTGTGTGTGTGTGTGTGTGTGTGTGTGTGTGTGTGAGAGAGAGACAGAGAGAGAGACAGAGAGATGCCATGTGTGTGGGTGCCTGTGGAGGCCAGAAGAGGGAGCCTGAGGAGGAACTGCTGTTGTTGTGAACTACCCATTGTGGGTGCTGGGAACTGAACTTGGGTCTTTTAGAAGAACAGTGTGTGATCTAAACTCCTGAGCTGGCTCCAGCTTTGGCTTTTATTTTGTTATTGTTTGAGTCAGGGTTTCATTTTGTAGTCCTCACTGGCCTGACATTTGCTATTTAGCACAGGCTGGCTTTGAACTCCTGATCTCTTGCCTTCAAGAGCACTGGGATAACGTGCACACCTCACCTAGCCTACGTCACTTCTTCCAGTTATTGTTCATTAGTTGTGATTTCGAGATTTATTTATGTGAGTGTCTTGCCTGCCTTTATGCCTGTGCACCTTGGAGTGCGCATGCCTGGTGTCCTTGGAGACCAGAAGAGGGAGCTGGACCCTCTGTAACTGGAGGTAAGGATGGCTGTGAGCCACCATGTGGGGGCTGGGAATTGAACCTGGGTCCTCTGCACGAGCAGCTGGTGCCTCGCTGAGCTTCTCTCCAGCCCCCATTTTACTCTTTTTAAATGAGCAGTTTATATTTTTCAAAGTGAGCAGTTTATTTACTTTAATTTATTAATGTATGCATCCAACCCCCAAATCTATGTTTTTTATTATTTTTAGTAACGTTAGTAATCTTTTTCGATTGTTTTTTGTTTTTTGAGACAGGGTTTCTCTGTGTAGCCCTGGCTGTCCTGGAACTCACTCTGTAGACCAGGCTGGCCTTGGAACTCACAGAGATCCTCCTGCCTCTGCCTCCCGAGTGCTGGGACTAAAGGCATGTGCCACCGCCGCCTATGCTAACTTTAAATCTTATTTGTGTTTATCATGGGCTCAAACGCAGGCTGGTCAGGCCTGCAGGCTGAGCACCTTCTTCCTTTGGGCCAGCTCACTGCCCCTCTTCTCTATTTGAAAAAAATGCTTTAATCAGTGCTTGTTAATTGTGAGTCATGGACTTCACTGTGGTGCTTTCGTTGTGTGTGGGATGCGTCCCGTTCACCTGCTCTCGCGCCCTGCCCCCTCCCCTCCTTGCGCTTCACTAGGTTGTTTACAGGACCACGGGCCCCTTGCTTGTATCTGTACCACTGATGAAAACGTCACTCCCTCCTCCCTCAGAACCTGCACTGGGTATGTGTGCTCGGGAGGGGTGGGCCTGGTGAGCCTGGAGGTTGACAGGCCAGGCTTGTCTATGATGACAGCTGCTGTGATTTCAGGAGTGCACAGCGCTGACCTGCCGACGGGCGCTTTGCCTGCACGCATGTCTGCGCGCTCCACCCGCCATGTGCGAAGTGCCGTAGAGATCGTAAGAGGGTGTCAGGTCCTCTGGAAGAGCAGCCGGGCTTGTTAGCCACTGAGCCATCTCTCCAGCTCCGGCTCTTGGATTCTTCCACCTTGTCCATGATGTCCCCCAAGCCTTGGGAGGGTGATAGAGATGTCCCACTTAGGGCTGAGAACTCAGCATCTCTCATTCTCAATGCTTTGGCAAGTCATGAGTCTGCAGTCGCTTGGAGAGGAGCTCCTGTGGGCAGAGCGGACGGCAGTCGTCCTCTGCAGCCACAGCAGGGTCCCGTGGCAGGCAGGCAGTCCATCCAACACAACGAGCCATGCTCCCCACCACAAGCAAGGTCCCGTGGCAGGCAGTCAGTCCATCCAACACATCGAGCCATGCTCCCCCACCACACCTGTGACCTCTCCAGACGCTTCCAGATGGGTCAGGGCAGAAAGTCAGACCGCTGCTGCTGCAGTGCGGGTGTCCCCCGCCTTTGCACATGGGGTCACAGCTAGAACTGTTGATGGCAGTTCTCCCATCCGTCAGGCTTGGCAGCAAGCACCTTTACCTGCTGAACCATCTCCACGGCATTTATTTATTTGCTTATCTGTGAATGAATATGTGTGCATGCCAGGTCAGAGGTCAGTGTCAAGTGTCCTCCTCTGTCCCCCTCCCCACTTTGGCAATTGTCTGGAGAGGGATTTGTGTTGTTCTGGACGGGATCTGTCACTGGGCCTGGGCTTGCTGTTCTGGTAATGGGACCCACCTGACTTCTCTCCCGATGTGTAGTTCCAGGCATGCGTCTCTATGCCTGGCTGGCTTTTGTTTGTTTTTCAGGACGGGCACTGGCCATCCAAACTTGTGCGTGTGTGGCAGGCATTGTTCTGACCAAGCCATCTGTCTTCACGGTCCCTTGGTTTTTGTTTTGTTTGTTTGTTTCTTTTTTTTCTTTTCAGACAGTGTCATGTAGCTCAGGTTGCCCTCACACTTGAAATGTAGCTGAAGCTGGACTGAAATTCCTTTTCCCCTGCCTCCATCTCTGTGGTCTTGGGATTACAGGTGTGTGCCACCAAACCTGGCTAGGTTTTTATCTTCTGGCCGGGTGGTGATGGTTGAGGTAAAACTTGTGTAACATGAACTCTACCCTTATCAGTGACAGTTCTGTGATGTGCAGCATATCCACACAGAGACGTGCAAGTGTGTCTACCCACTGGTCCCCTCTCCAGCCTGGCAGCCCTGCTTCCTGTCTGTGGAGTCACCTGGTCTGGACGTTACACAGCAATGGGATTGTGCGAGGTGCAGATTCCTCCCCTCCCTTTCCCTCCTCCCCTCTCCTCCCTCTCTTTTCTTTCCTCCATCCCTTCCTCCTCCATCTCTTAACAGGGTGCTGCTGATATAGCCCAGGCTGGCATAGAACCATGACCTGTTAGCTTCTGTTTCCAGTCTTGGTTTTTGTTTTGTTTTTGTTTGTTTGTTTCAAGACAAGGTTTCTTTGTGTAGCCCTGGCTGTCCTGGAACTTGCTCTCAGACCAGGCTGGCCTCGAACTCAGAGATCCACCTTCCACTGCCTCCCAAGTGCTGAGATTAAAGGAGTGCACCACCACTGCCTGGCTTGTTTTGTTTGAGACAGGGTTTCCCTGTGTAGTCCTGGCTGTCCTAGAACCCTTACTGTAGCTCAGATCAAGGGTGTGTGCCCCCATTCCTAGAAACGTCATCCATCTTAAAATGTCATCTCCTCTGTCTGGCTCATTTTAGCTGGCTTCCTATTTCAAGTGCATTACATTGTGGCACAGATCAGAGTTTCTTCCCTTTTCATCATCAAATAATATTCCAACGTGTGGCTAGTCACCGTTTTATTTATGTTGTCGCCACCTGGTGGATGTCTGCTCGGTTTTGCGGTGGTTGTCATTGTTTCTAACGGTATCGCAGCTGAGAGCGACACTGTTGTGACACCTGTAATTTCAGCACTAGGAAGATTGGTTACCTCAAGTTTGAGGTCAGCCTGTGCCCCATTGTGAGTTCCAGGCTTCCTGCCACGGATGCTCCATCGAAAGAACACTGCGGTCTGGGGGGGGCTGGTCCCTGTCCTGCTCCCGGCTGTGGCTTCAGGCTGTTTAGTCTGTTGCCGGATTGGAGCCCGGCATCGGTGTTGTAGACCAGTGGG